GTGCAAGGTGCTGGCCTCGTGGCCAGTCTGGTTGTATACAGTGTCACATTGCAGAGTGAGGAGGTGTTCGGGAGAGGCACACGCAGGGCGCCCTGGAAATATTTTTGTCATTAGATCAGCTATGGTTATTCTTCCACGAAGAAACACATATAGGAGAGAGATACATATTATTTTAGACCATTTACTCAAGACAGCTACAGATATTTGTTGAGAACCCGCTTCTTGACAAACATGCAAAGCACTAAAAGTGATATTGAAAATAACTCCACTCTTAGGTGATTCTTAGAAATCAAGTTTTGGAGATAGACTTGTTTCAACTACCTCAAGCATTAAAACAGTTTGAGTTTATTTTAGTTACTCTGAACTGACTACAGATCTGTGATCTTTTGTTCAAAATATTTGGGGCCGAATGAATTTTAAAAATCAGAAATTTTAGGATTTTTGACATATAATAAAGTACATGTAGCATATATTATGTTTCTGTGAATCTGAAATAGTACGTCATGATCAGAGATATTAATAGTTCTATTGCAATATGTAAGTATGTTTACACTGAGCGATACATATGTATATAGACTATAAATAGCCTGTGTGAACTCAGGTCAGGTTTTGATAACAAATGAATCACACAGAAAATTTTGAATTTCAGAGATTTTGAAGCTTTTCTGAATTAAACTAAGGGATTGTGGACATGTACTAGAGAAGACAGCAAACACAAAAGTATTTAAGTATCAAAGTATTAGTATTATGATCAAATGTCTTTTACCCATACACATGTACACACACACACACAACTAAAACTACAAGGTGGTTGTCAAGGCCTCGGGGCTCACAGAGCAGATGGGATGGAGGAGCGCCTGGCAGGACAGGTGTTTAGCTACTCTGTGGAGAGGGACTGTACACGGCCGCAGACCAGGCTGCTGAGGGTGCCGTCAGAGGCAGGAGGTACAGCATCTCAACAGCTCAATGTGTGTTTGAGTTTCTGCGTGTGGAGAGGGATCAGAATGGCTGTTTAACTTTTATTAAATTTTTATAACTTTATTTTTATTGTTGATACTATTACAGGTGTCCCCATTTCCCCCCACTTTGCTGACCTCCA